GGAGAGGCCACGACGGTGAGAGGCCCACATATCGCAAAAAAAAAAAAAAAAAAAATCCATTGTTGACTAGCTGAAGGAAGCCCCTGCTCCACCCCACTAATTCAAAGCTGTAAGTTTAGAAAGAGTGGGTTCAGCTGCGTCTGGGCCGATGTGATTCAAACTTTGGAGTCTCTTCTTCCAGGACCCCTCTTCCTAGGCATGGGTGCCCTCACACAGCCCTGTGGAAAGTCCCTCACTGCCAGGATGCACCCCTGTCCTTCCCCCAGGTACCCTCCTGTCGCTCCAACCAAACTGGCTTTTTATATCTGAACTTCGGACAGTATCACTACAGCACATTAATAAATGTTAAAATCTGCAGGTTCAACCCCTAGTAGCAAAAGTGCTTTGTTTTCCAAGAATGGGATTCTTCTCAAACGGATATGTTCATACAGCCCTTTGCATCAGCACCTAAAAACGGCACCCGCTTCTCCAGCTTCATTTCTTTTCAATCTTCCTCACTCACGCTGCCTCAGCCGCACTTGGCGTTTTTAGTCCTTGGAACACACCATACTTTCTCCCTCTTAACATACAAGCTTATTCCTACCTCAGGGCCTCTGCATTTGCTGGATTTCTTCACGTCACTGCCACCTACGCATTCTTTCGGTTTCAACTCAAACGTCACTGCTTTCCCAGAGGCAGCTCCTGACCAACTCAGCAAAAGCTACACCAATTCCCCACAAACGCTCCCCTCCAGGCATCCTCTATCACAGCAGTTTTCAACCAAGGGTGATATTGCCTCTCAGGAGACATTGGTAATGTCTGCAGACATTTGCAGTTGTCACCACCTGGGGGGCACAAGTGTCCTCTAGTGAGTAGAGGCCAGGGATGCTGATAAACAATCCTATAATGCACAGCACAGCCCCCTACCACAAAGGGTTATCCGGCCCAAAATGCCATGTTTGAGAAGTTCAGCTCTACTGGTGTATATCTTTTTTTCCTTATCATTACCAGCACGAGAATGGATGGTGTGGGGTTTTCTTTCCTACTGAATTGGAGCTTCTTGGGAATTGGAGTTCAGCGCTGTTCTCTGTTCCACCCACAGCACCTAGAGGAATGTCAGGCACACCTGACTCTCAAATCATGCCCCATTTGCCCTTGTCCTGAGAATCCACAGCAAATTGAAGATGGCTGGCCTTGACTATATGATGAGAATAAGAAAACAAGTCCATTTCCAAAATGAAAACAAAAATGTGTTTTATTAATGAGTGTACGTACAAATCAAGCTCATGATGAGGAGTCCCTCACACTTGCATGTACTCACAAAATTATCTTCATAGCCATCAATGAAAGATTGGTTCCTCTACTTTTAAAGATGTGCAAAAGTTCCTAAGTTCAAATATATAGCTTTAATGATACCAGTGTCCTAAAGCCCCAAGATCGATTGTAGAAAATGAAATCTCGATGGTCTCAAAAGATCAAAAACAAAAGTAAATTCATTATATAAAATTGGTAGTTTTACAGAAAAGAATTTAATATTAACTAAGTACCTCCCCTTCCTTCCCTCTAACCCATGCTCCCTCTCAGTTATTGACAAATTTTTGTACAGTTTAAAATGATAGCCAAATTACCCAATATCAACTTTTCAAAAACAGAAACATTATTCAGAAAAATAATAAAAGGTACCATATAGTAAGAGACTTATGAATGCAACACCGTTGAAATTATTTACTGAGCACTGATGCTAGATCTATCACTACCAACTCCACACACACACAAAAGAAACCTTTGCATTTCTGTAGTGTTTTTCACTTTTATTTTTCTCACAAAGAATATGTCATTAGAATTACCACTATACACCAATGTATGTTTGGAAATAATTCTAAGAGGTGTAAAAAAAATTTAGCACAACATTGTAAATCATCTCTACTTCATTAAAAAATATATTAAAAACTTAGGCATAAAGAATGATTTATCCTAATGTCATCCAATGTTACTGGTAAGAGTTAGGATTAGAACTCAGGTCCTATCTCTAATTCTGTGTACCATCTGCTTTCTCCCAGGCTCCACATCTTGTTTCACAGAATGCTACTGGGTATGCCAGTAGTCATGGTGCTCAGGGATTTTAAACAAATTTTGGAAATGCTGGATTGAATAAAGTTGATCAAATTCTCACAACCTGTAATGTGCCATCACAAAACTCCAGGAAGGATATGGAGAATAGAGCACGCATCAAAAATTCAAAGCCCCACAAGCCACAAAGCAGGTAACAAACATGAGCCTGCAGGCAAGGCAAGGGCTGGGGGTGCTGAGGGATGTGGTGCCATCTAGTGGGGCCCTGGCTGCATAGGGATGCAGTCCGATGTTAGCTCTTTCCAGAGAAGTTATACATCTTGACATTAATTTGAAATCACTATGGTTATGAATATTGTCTTGAATTAAAAAAAAAAAAAATCCCTGTAGTTGGAACATAATTTTTTAAACTAGATCAGTCTGGTCCCACTTGTGAAAACTAGTATACAATGTTTAGCAATCTTCTTTGCCCCATAACCTTTATTCAGAGGTCCTGTTAATTTCCCAGAACTCCGCAGAAATGTCAAAAACATTGCCTTCAAAAACAAGCATCCAACCCTCATGGACCACTTTGGTGTGAGTAGCTCTGAACACCTCCCAAATAACTCAAGCATGAGTTGTTTCAGGGTTTACTCAAATTAAAATTAATTTCCAGTCTTGTTAACTGTTCATGTAGAAATGCTCCTAGTGACTAAAAATACCCTTACCGTTAGCCTTTCTCTAACACTTCTGGAAAAACCAAAAATTTAATTGAGCTGTGAAAAAGATATAACACAGGAATTGATTCAATATGAAAAAGACCCTTTATCCTTCCAAAACAATTTTAAAAATCAAAGTGGTTTGAGGACAATTTAGCATTTCGGTTGAAACGGGTAACACTCTCAAACAACACTACTATATTTGCAAACTAGCTTTTCTAAGTCAGAAAGCCTCTTTTACTACTCCCTCCCCCTCTTTTTTCCTTTTATTTCCACCCTGCCTCATTCTAAAAGTTACATCAGAGAGTCTGCCAGTTGTCTACATAAGTGCCTAGAACTGTGGCACCAATGTAGCAGAAACAGCATAAATCATATGGCAATTGATTTTCTTCCCCTGGTGTCTCCATGGTCCACTCACTGCACTAGCTTCTTCTAACGGCTAAAATACCCATCCTGGTCCCAGGGAAAGCACTTCTATTTCCAGAGCCCTGAGAAACCAGATATACCTATAATGGCAAAATCACATTCACTTCTATTTTCCCATTGTGTGAATAAAAACCTGTACACTCCCATGATTTGAAACCCTTGGGGGCCCTAAGGAATATAACATTTGAAGTTGCTTGATTAAAAAAAAAAAAGACAATCATGAAATGCTTCCAAGTTAAGTCCTTTAAGTCCCAAATTGGATTTGTTGATTTTAAGTGGTACTCAGCTCTTCTTGACAGCTTTGGTAACTGAGGTAGTAGTGTTTATTCTGTCTCCCCAAGGAGAATTCTTGATAGAAAACAGGATTCATAGGGTCTAAAGAGAATGTACAATTCTAAGGAATAAATTTCATGTTTTGGAGAGAGCTCTGCAATGACCAGAAAGATTGAGACAGTTTTAGTATAAAAAATTAGGACAATGTTACAGAGGTTGACGGTACACAGATGAGCTAGACTCACTCTACCCAATATCACCGACTGGTTGGAATGCCATGGGAAACTGACGGAAAAATTGTCCTGTTTCATGAAAGGACTCTGGCACAGTGATATCTGGTCACCGTCTCCCACAGTCAAGGGCGTAACGCCTTAGAAGGCCACTGGATCCATGACTTAATGAAGGTCATCAATAATGTAGATATTGTCTTCTGCTCGGACAGGCTTCAGAGCTGCATTTTTCAAAGCTCCAATGTGAGAGTCCCTCAACGGAATCACACTACAGAAAGAATAACACTGAGTAAGAGAAAAGCAGACCACTTCTCAAGTATGAGCAGTGCATTTGTTTACGTTCAAGCAAGATTGGGTATTTGCATTTCCCAGAACCCCATTCACACAGCCTATGAAATAAATACAAGCTTTCAGAGTTGTGAATATGAAATTTCAGGAAAGTCTGTTTAATAAGCAGGTAGAAAACCTCAGCAGTAGTTTCAAAAACCTCAGACTGGTCTCCTTCTGGAGTCTCATGTAATAGAATACAAAAATTGAAAATCTAGGGACTTCCCTGATGGTCCAGTGGTAAAGAATCTGCCTTCCAATGCAGGGGATGCAGGTTCGAACCCTGGTCGGGGAACTAGGATTGCACATGCCATGGGGCAACTAAGCCCGTGTGCCAGAACTACTGAGCTTGCAGGCCTCAGTGAGAGAGCCCTCATGCTGTAACTACAAAGCCCACACACTCTGGAGCCCACGTGCCACAACTAGAGAGAGAAAACCCGTACACCACAACTAGAGAGAAGCCCATGCACTGCAACAAAAGATCCCACATGCCTCAAAGAAGATCCCATGTGCCACAACTAAGACCCGATGCAGCCAAATAAATAAATAAATATTTTTAAAAAAAACAAAGAAAGAAAATCTAAGAAGACAAACATCAGACATCAAATTGAAGTACTAAACCAGTATACATATTCTCAAAGATGGCTAGGTAATGGTTTGGCTAGTGTTTTTCCAACTGTGGACTGTGACCCTTTAGAGAGGGTTATTAAATCTATTTAGTGCTCTATATCCTGTTTTTAAGATAAATATATATAAATATACAAAATATCAGAGCATACTGGTATAGTAAAATAGTATTGTTTCATCAAAGTGTATACTAGATCATGGAGTCAAAAATCTTACCATGCCTTAATGGTCAAAATTAGAAAGCCATGGGTTAAATGACTTTTATAACACATATGCTCACACATCAATATGAATAGGTCATTTGTGGAGTTTTGATATTGCTACTCTTTTATAATTTGTAGTGTATATAGTTACTACTTTTTATTAGTTAAGCCTGCCCAGAAATGATATGAAATGTACTCCATCTTCATTCAGCTCTGATCTTTAAACGGATTAGTCACACATGTGTGGAAACCGTTTAGGTGTCAGCAGCTCAAAATGGGTCAATGTGATATAGATGCACCAAAAATAACTTCATGGGGAAATGTTCATTTTTGGTTTTGTTTTGCTTTGCTTTTCTGTGTTATATAGTATTTCCTACAATAAATATTTTCTTTTCAAAAAGTGAAGCTTTAAAAAAACGTTAACAGCAAAAGGACAAAAATAAACTAAAAGGATGCTATCCTTCATGCTTTTGTGCCTGAAGGGAGTATTTTTTTTCTTCCATTCCTGGAAGCAGATAGTCAAAAATTTCTATAAGTATGGGTTTTGGACTCTAATTAAAAAGATTGAGTCTTTTACCTGCTGTGGGGTGTGACCTTGAATGTTACTTAACATCTCTAAACCTGTTTTCCAATCTGTAGACTAAGAATAATAATAGTGCCTATGAAGGGTTTACAGGTTCACTGCTGTGAAGGGCATGACTGCAATAATAAAAGCCAATGTTTATGGAACACTTGCAATATGTTTGGCATAGTTCAAGGCATGTTCTGTGCATTGGCTCATATGCTTAACTCAGACATAGGAAAGACTATGTAATAACATCCAATGAAAGAGAACTAGGAATAACAGCTGGCAGCTTAAGAGGGATGGATTTGGAATCGAAGAAAGACCTGTTTAAAGCCCAAGCTGGACAATCACAGAAAGACAGACAAAATGAAAAGGCAGAGGACCATGTCCCAGATGAAGAAACAAAATAAAACCCTGGAAAAACAACTAAATGAAGTGGAGATAGACAACCTTCCAGAAAAAGAATTCAGAATAATGATAGTGAAGGTGATCCAGGACCTCAGAAAAAGAATGGAGGCAAAGGTCAAGAAGATGCAACAAATGTTTAACAAAGGCCTAGAAGAATTAAAGAACAAACAAACAGAGATGAATAATACAATAATTGTAATGAAAAATACACTAGAAGGAATCAATAGCAGAATAACTGATGCAGAAGAACGGATAAATGACCTGGAAGACAGAATGGTGGAAATCACTGCCACGGAACAGAATAAAGAAAAAAGAATGAAAAGGAATGAAGACAGCCTAAGAGATTTTCTGGGACATTAAATGCAACAGCATTTGGATTATAGGGGTCCCAGAAGGAGAAGAGAGAGAGAAAGGACAAGAGAAAATATTTGAAGAGATTATAGTCGAAAACTTCTGTAACATGGGAAAGGAAATAGCCACCCAAGTCCAGGAAGTGCAGTGAGTCCCATACAGGATAAACCCAAGGAGAAACACACCAAGATACATAGTAATGAAATTGGCAAAAATTAAAGACAAAGAAAAAATATTGAAAGCAGCAAGGGAAAAATGACAAATAACATACAAGGGAACTCCCATAAGGTTAACAGCTGATTTCTCAACAAAAACTCTACAAGCCAGAAGGGAGTGGCATGATATACTTAAAGTGATGAAAGGGAAGAACCTACAACCAAAATTACTCTACCCGGCAAGGATCTCATTCAGATTCGATGGAGAAATTAAAAGCTTTACAGACAAGCAAAAGCTAAGAGAATTCAGCACCACCAAACCAGCTCTACAACAAATGCTAAAGGAACTTCTCTAAGTGGGAAACACAAGAGAAGAAAAGGACCTACAAAAACAAACACAAAACAATTAAGAAAATGGTCATAGGAACATACATATCGATAATTACCTTAAACATGAATGGATTAAATGCTCCAACCAAAAGAAACAGCCTTGTTGAATGGATACAAAAACAAGACCCATATATATGCTGTCTACAAGAGACCCATTTCAGACCTAGGGACACATATAGAGTGAAAGTGAGGGGATGGAAAAACATATTCCATGCAAATGGAAATCAAAAGAAAGCTGGAGTAGCAATACTCATGTCAGATAAAATAGAATTTAAATTAAAGAATGTTACAAGAGACAAGGAAAGACACTACATAATGATCAAGGGATCAATCCAAGAAGAAGATATAACAATTACAAATATATATGAACCCAACACAGGAGCACCTCAATACATAAGACAACTGCTAACAGTTGTAAAAGAGGAAATCGACAATAACACAATAGTAGTGGGGGAATTTAGCACCTCACTTCCACCAATGGACAGATCAACCAAAATGAAAATAAATAAGGAAACAAAAGCTTTAAATGACACAGTAGACCAGATATATTTAATTGATATTTATAGAAAATTCCATCTAAAAACAGAAGATTACACTTTCTTCTCAAGTGTGCATGGAACATTCTCCAGGATAGATCACATCTTGGGTAACAAATCAAGCCTCGGTAAATTTAAAGAAATTGAAATTGTATCAAGCATCTTTTCCAACCACAACATTAGGATATTAGAAATAAATTACAGGAAAAAAAATGTAAAAAACACAAACACATGGAAGCTAAACAATATGCTACTAAATAACCAAGAGATCACTGAAGAAATCAAAGAGGAAATCAAAAAATACCTAGAGACAAATGACAACAAAAACACGATGATCCAAAAATCTATGGGATGCAGCAAAAGCAGTTCTAAGAGGGAAGTTTATAGCAATACAACCCTACCTCAAGAAACAAGAAAAATCTCAAATAAACAATTTAAACTTACACCTAAAGGAACTTGAAAAAGAAGTACAAACAAAACCCAAAGTTAGCAGAAGGAAGGAAATCATAAACATTAGAGCAGAAAAAAATGAAATAGAAACAAAGGAAAAAATAGCAAAGATCAATAAAACTAAAAGCTGGTTCTTTGAGAAGATAAATAAACCTTTAGACAAACTCATCAAGAAAAAGAGGGAAAGGACTGAAATCAATAAAATTAGAAATGAAAAAGGAGAAGTTACAACAGACACCGCAGAAATACAAAGCATCATAAGAAACCACTACAACAAACTCTATGCCAATAAAATGGATAACCTGGAAGAAACGGACAAATCCTTAGAAAGGTATAACCTTCCAAGGCTTAACCAGGAAGAAATAGAAAATATGAACAGGCCAATCACAAGTAATGAAATTGAAACTGTGATTAAAAACCTTCCAACAAACAGAAGTCCACGACCACGTGGCTTCACAGGTGAATTCCACCAAACATTTAGAGAAGAGCTAACACCCATCCTTCTCAAACTCCTCCAAAAAATTGCAGAGGAAGGAACACTCACAAACTCATTCTACAAGGCCACCATCACCCTGATACCAAAACCAGACAAAGACACTACAAAAAAAGAAAATTACAGACCAATATCACTGATGAATATAGATGCAAAAATCCTCAATAAAATAGTAGCAAACAGAATGCAACAGCACATTAAAAGGATCATACACCATGATCACATGGGATTTATCCCAGGAATGCAAGGATTCTTCAATATATGCAAATCAATCAATGTGACACACCATATTAACAAATTGCAGAATAAGAACCATGTGATCATCTCAACAGATGCAGAAAGAGCTTCTGACAAAATTCAACACTTTTTTATGATAAAAACTCTCTAGAAAGTGGGCATAGAGAGAAGGTACCTCAACATAATAAAGGCCATATACCACAAACCCACAGCAACATCATTCTCAATGGTGAAAAACTGAAAACATTTCCTCTAAGATCAGGAATAAGACAAGGATGTCCAGTCTCGCCACTATTATTCAACATAGTTTTGGAAGTCTTAGCCACAGCAATCAGAGAAGAAAAAGAAATAAGAGGAATATGAATTGGAAAAGAAGAAGTAAAACTGTCACTATTTGCAGATGACATGATACTACACACAGAAAATCCTAAAGATGCAAAGCAATCCTTATCAAATTACCAATGGCAATTTTTAAAGAACCAGAAAACTACTAGAGCTAACCAATGAATTTGGTAAAGTTGCAGGAAACAAAATTAATGCAAAGAAATCTCTTGCATTCCTATACACTAACCACGAAAGATCAGAAAGAGAAATTAAGGAAACAATCCCATTCACCATTGCAACAAAAAGAATAAAATACCTAGGAATAAACCTGCATAAGAAGGTAAAAGACCTGTACTCAGAAAACTGTAAGACACTGATGAAAGAAATCAAAGATGACACAAACAGATGGAGAGATATACCATGTTCTTGGATTGGAAGAATCAATATTGTGAAAATGACTATACTACCCAAAGCAATCTACAGATTCAATGTAATCCTTATCAAATTACCAATGTCATTTTTTACAGAACTAGAACAAAAAATCTTGAAATTTGTATGGAGACACAAAAGACTCCAAATAGCCAAAGCAATCTTGAGAAAAAAAACAAACAAAAAAGATCTGGAATCAGACTCCCTGACTTCAGACTATACTACAAAGCTGTAGTAATCGAGACAATATGGTCCTGGCACAAAAACAGAAATTTAGATCAATGGAACAGGATAGAAAGCCCAGAGATAATAAACCCATGCACCTATAGTCAACTAATCTATGACAAAGGAGACAAGGATATACAATGGAGAAAAGACTGTCTCTTCAATAAGTGGTGCTTGGAAAACTGGACAGCTACATGTAAAAGAATGAAATTAGAACACTCCCTAACACCATACACAAAAATAAACTCAAAATGAATTAGAGACCTAAATGTAAGACCGGACACTATAAAACTCTTAGAGGGAAACATAGGAAGAACATTCTTTGACATAAATCACAGCAAGATCTTTTCTCACCCACCTTCTAGAGTAATGGAAATAAAAACAAAAATAAACAAATGGCACCTAATGAAACTTAAAAGCTTTTGCATAGCAAAGGAAAGTATAAACATGATGAAAAGACAACCCTCAGAATGGGAAAAATATTTGCAGACGAATCAATGGACAAAGAATTAATCTCCAAAATATATAAACGGCTCATGTACCTCAATATCAGAAAAACAAACAACCCAATCCAAAAATGGGCAGAAGACCTAGATAGACATTTCTCCAAAGAAGACATACAGATGGCCAAGAAGCACTTGAAAAGCTGCTCAACATCACTAATTATTAGAGAAATGCAAATCAAAACTACAATGAGGTATCACCTCACACCAGTTAGAACGGCCATCATCAGAAAATCTACATTATCATATGACCCAGCAATCCCACTACTGGGCATATACCCAGAGAAAACCATAATTCAAAAAGACACGTGCACCCCAATATTCATTGCAGTGCTATTTACAATAGCCAGGTCATGGAAGCAACCTAAATGCCCATCGACAGATGAATGGATAAAGAACATGTGGTACATATAGAGAATGGAATATTACTCAGCCATAAAAAGGAACGAAACTGGGTCATTTGTAGAGACGTGGATGGACCTAGAGACTGTCATACAGAGTGAAGTAAGTCAGAAAGAGAAAAACAAATATCGTATATTAATGCATATATGTGGAATCTAGAAAAATGGTATAGATGAACCAGTTTGCAAGGCAGAAATAGAGACACAGATGTAGAGAACAAACATATGGACACCAAGGGGGGAAAGTGGGGGAGGGGAGGGATGGATTGGAAGATTGGGATTAACATATATTCACCAATATGTATAAAATAGATAATTAAAAAGAAAATGCTGTATAGCACAGGGAACCCTACTTCACTTCGCTGTACGGTAGAAACTAACACAACATTGTAAAACAACTATACCTCAAAAAAAAAAAAAAAAAAGTCCAAGCTGGACCAAATGAAGCAGGCTATTTGGATTTGGAAGTAGGCAGAGGTTTCCTACCATTACAGACAGGTGTTTGGGGAAATGACTACATGAATGCATATAAAGAGGATTTCACTTTCCCTGGGCAGTGTGGTAGATTTGCAAAAAATTCAAATGCTATGAGGCCCAACAACTAATGTAAAGGAACAGAGCAGGCTGGGCATGTAACAATGGGGATGGTGGGAAGGGTGGGGAGCTGGAAGCACGTGCCTTAGCCTGTGCCTTTGTATGTCTTCAGCCTGGAGTCATCTTCCTCCAGATCTTTGCAGAACTGCCTTCTGCTCCTTTGGGGCTCACTCACATAGCCTATTGCCTTGCTCTGTATTCCCCATGGCATTTCTCTGCAAGTTCTAAAAATACCCTGCTTACTCATTTATACGTTTCTGTTTTGTCCATCTCTTTGGAATTTAGTAGGCATTCAATACACACTCAATAAACAAAGCACTGAATGAAATCAAATAACAAACCAAACAACCCATTCAAATGTCCCATCAAACAAAATCTGCAATTTAGTTCTCTTGCTCTAAGCGGTCAGGTTTGAGGTACTGTTTCTGGAGCAGTTCTGGCACAATTCCAGGGAAATACAGAGATGCTAAAAATATCACTGGAAGGTTGGACGGCAATGGAGGTGCCCTATATACTAGATTTTTCAGGATCCAGAGTATAAAATGGAGAGTTCAGAAGGAAAAGAGAGGGAGAGAGAAATTATCCTTATTTTTATTAGAGTAAGAATATCAAAAGGCATTGACACAAACTCTTTCAACCTTACCGTAGTAGCTCCACCTTGCTACTCAGGCAAAAATATCCTAAATTGGGGAAGAAGTGAGAGAAAATTAAACATGTAAGACAGAGTTCATGAGATTTTTTTCCCAAACAAGTATATTATTACTGTTATTACTTTGATATGAACAAAATCTGTACAGACCTCAGAAGCTGAAAAAATTAATTTACAAGAAAATATCTTTAAAAAGAAGGGGAAAAAAACCAATCTGGACCCTCGCCTGATAACTCCAGGTAACTTTTTTCGAATCTGTAGGAGCCAAATAAGCCCCTTAGTGTAAAGTATCTCATGTTTACTAATAGTTTAGTGTATTCACCCACATGTCCCAACTTACTATAATGCAATTATATTTCACTGTAAAAAAAATGGGGGATTGTGTTTCTTCCATAGGTGACAGGTTTTACATACACGCACAACTGGTGGAAGGAGACCAGGAGGCCCTGGATGGCTGCCTTGTGAACCCCTTTGCTCTACTCTTAGCCCTGAAATCATGTATCCCTCTCAATGTCCCAGTTGCTTCTTCTGTTAAGTGGGTGTTGTAACACCCTCAACAATTTCACCCCCTATAGGGCCAAAACTTGGTTCTTGAGGGAAGGGGGAAAGGAGGAGTGAACACATCTTATATGTTACAATGGTTTGCTGCCTTCCAAACCCCAACTCTACCCAATCAATGCCTATTTCTCCATATTTAATTTCTCCTATGGAGAATTTAAATATCATGTTTCTCTCTATGGGACAATAATTTTAAGATAAAGAAAAAATAAAAAAAGAACAAGGTAAAAACCAAGGAAGTTATGAGGGCTACAGGCAGTTTGGTTCAAGAAAACTCCCGCAGGCACAGTCCTGAGGTGACTTACTTTTGCTAATCATGAAAACCAAAAATGTGAGCAATGATACCAAGGCAGTAACACAGATTCCAATGTAGACTCCCTTATTGGTGTTCATCCATGGATCTTGTGCCAGCGTCACAAGCTAAGGAAACATCAGCAGATAAAAAAAAAAAAAAAAAAACTTCTTACAATTATGGGTAGAAAACATTTCTGAAAATAATGTACACAGACACACTTATCTTTATTGGCCTTTGGCTAGTTCCGGATCATGAGGGGTAAGACCAAATGATTTAAAGTTATAACCATGTGGTGAAATTCTAAGACAATTTAGAATTCAAAATGTATTTGGGGATGGTGGAAATGTTTTATCTCTTGCTTGCGGTGGTATTTACAGAGGTGTATACATTTGTCAAAACTCAAACTGTACACTTCAAATGAGTGTGCTTTATTATATGTAAATTATAACTATTTTAAAAAATTAATAAGCTATTTTCATAAATAATCCTCCTATGATATTAAAAAAGAAAACAACAATTTTTGTTCCTATATAAGTTGACGTGGTGGTGTTACCTCAAGCTATGTGAATGTGTTCAATTATTAAAATTGGCCCTTGATTGCAAAACTTTTTTTTTAACTAGAATTCAAGATTCCATCTATGTATTTATAAATGGACTTGAAAGTAGATGCTCATATACATGGCCCTGCTTAACAATTAAAATGTTGCACAATTGGAAAGAAATACAAGTTTATTTAAATCTCCTAGTATGGTTCATAAGGGATCATCACCTCCCGGAATAAAACCGAAATACGCCATGAATCATGTTCAGCCCCTTTACATAACTTAACTCTAATCCTAAAGAGGCCCCATGGGGTAGGTATTTTAACAGAAAGGAAGTGAAGATCAGAGAAAAAGATTAAGTCTCAAATCTCTTCCTGCGTAAGAGTTTAATCTCTGGAGTCAAAATTCCAGCTTTTTTACTTAGTTGCTGTGTGACCCTAGACATGTTATTTATCCTCTCTGAACCTCTGTTTCTCTGTCTGTCAAATGCAGATTAAATAGGGTTCTTGGGAAAGATAATTTAGGTACTTCCTGATCAACACTATGAGGAACACAAAGGATGGTGACTTAGCATATGAGCTGTCTTTGCTTAAAGGGGGAACAGCCAGTGTCTTGGGAGGGAAAAGCTATGTAATTACCTTACTTGTGGGGGGTAAAGTGGTTACATGGAACATGGAGTTACAGGAAGCAGGCTTTGCTTCCTTTTCAAAAATATTATGTTACATGAAAACTGCAGTTTCATTTTAGAATGTGCAGCTAAGCATAAAGAAAGGAAAACAAAAATCAACCATAATCCCAACATCCAGAAACAGCCACTATTACCATTTTTCATTACATACTCTTCTAGAATTTTATCCTAGTGTTTTTCTTAACAGAAGCAGTTACTATATTCAATATATACTACAGTATATACACTATACACACACACACACACACACACACACAATTTTTTGGTCGTGCTGCGTGGCATTTGGGATCTTAGCTCCCCAACCAGGGATCGAACCAGCACCCGCTTCATTGGAAGCGCAGAGTCTTATTAACCACTGGACCGCCAGGGAAGTCCCTACACTATTTTAAAAGTTAGTTTTTTCATTTAACAATCAACACTGTCTTCTCATGTCAGTAAATGTACTGCAGTGACAACATGCTTAATGGCAATAAGTGGGCATGCTTAATTGACTAAGTAATTAATCCCTTATTATTGAACATTTAGGTTGTTTATAACATTTTCATGACTATAAATAACAGCAATGAACATCTTTTCTTATACATCTTCACATATTTGTTCAATTCTCTCCCTAATATGGAGTTCAGGAAGTTGATTTACTGGGTCGAAATATATGCTGCTTGGTTTCAGGATACCTGGGAGACACCTTGACATCTTCAGAGTCAAGACACAAAAAGCCCACGATTTTGCCTGTTGTGAACTTGCTTCTACTTGCTGCTAAACATACCTGTCCTGCCGGTAACTGAGGTAAAGAACAATCTCATCATTCAGAATGTTTGTTTCTTTTTTCTTAATCCAGCTATAACAATGTAACAGTCATTTACATGGTGGCAGTTCTGCTATTTAACAGGCATATACAAATTCAGCACATATCCATCAGATCGATCAGTGCCCATACCATAAGAGTTGTTAAAATCTTCAATATCATTCCTCTGTGGTGGTGCTCTCATTGTCACTGAGGTATGTAACATAAGGCCATTTGACCTCACACTAAATAACCCCACTTTGCCTGAGCTTGAATTTCTCTTATTCTAAGAATTACTTGCACATGGTAAAAGGAAAGTTGGTTCACCCAAGGGAGCCAAGAGTAAAGGACCTATTGATAAATTCTTCTAACTTAGAAAGATGAGGTTTTGATGAACATTATAAGAATAAAGCCCCTTAGATTTTTCTCAATCTAACTGTGGAAAAAGTATGACAACATCCTACAGAATCACAAAGTTTTTCAAGATGTTAGGACCTTAATAAGTCATCATATGGGGAGGTTTATGTATAGAAAGACTCAGAAGTGGCCTCAAAATTTCTATATAGGAGGACAATTGGGTTGGAAAAGGATATTAGGGGGCCTATGTTGAAGCAAGCACACTTTCATTTATATAATACTTTTAGTTGGGATGGCCCCCACTCCACCACATCAATTCAAAGCACGTTAGCTCTCTAACGATCACTGAAGTCGCCCTTGGTATGTAACGTTAACGCACGATCCTTGAATTAATTCACTCGTTTTTTCTAATTTTCTGGGCAGGAGAAAGTCTGTAGTGTGTGTGTGTGTGTGTGTGTGTGTGTGTGTGTCGAGAGAGAGTAAAATATCACTTTTCAGGTATTTCTGACAACTAGTGCATCTATATAAACTTTTTAAGTTAATTAAAGCATCCCTAATTTAAGAGTCAAATTCTTTTCTTCCTTTATTTGAAATGTGTGGACTAGTCTTACAATAACAATCTCTAAATGTAACTTGCTTCCAGGGAGACATACAAGTGAATCTGGCTAATAAAGTAGGAAGGAATATGCTTACAGTTTGATTGTTATGCCAAAGGGCATCTGGAGACTGGGTCACAGTGCCATACCCATCTGCTCAACAAGAAGGAAAATGAATTAGAAAGACAAAAAGTATTGAATTTTCACTGCAAACACCAAATATATTCACATTGCCTTCTGGTAATGAATGAAAAGTTGAATAATCATATGGCTAAATGCTGTAGGCTTGCAAGAGTTATACCAAGTTACTAACAGTTATTAATTTAACCTGTAAGGTTGTGCTTCTTAAACCATTTTGTCATGGACCCTTCCAAAATGAACCTTTTTTTTTTCTCTCTGTGGAAAAAAATGCACGTACACAGAAAGTTTACCTACAATTTTAGAGGAGTCATAGTGGCCCATTATCAGAACTAGGTTAAAAATTGCCACTTAAAGTTATATAATTAATATTTTCATGACAGCTAAGAAGCTGCCAGTGAGGATGCTCAGAGGCCATTGCACATCCAAAGAGCAGAACCACCCCGTTCAAAATAGTTGTTACATTGGTTTTATATTCAAAATGTGTGTGAAATGTACTAAGATATCCGAAATAGGTGGCATCCAACTCCTACATTATATGCCACAGTGCCTAGACATTGTTGCAGAAGTGCTTTAGAAAATACGTTATATCAGCCCCAAGGCCAAAGTATCTTATACTACCTAAAACCCCAATATAAAAGGATATCAGGCCTTAAAGTTTTGAATATCCAAATATTAATAGTGTTTAAAATATCTCGTTTGTCATACAGAACATATACTGTTGGCCCTCCTAAGCAACTATAGGTCAAATACAGGTTTCTCTTTTTACTGACCACTTTACATCCTTATACCAATTTTTTAAACCCCATTTTATAGATGAGGAAACAGATCTGAAATGGTTAAAGTTTCCAACTCCAGTAAAAGACAATAGCCTCAGCTCATAACCACCACACACATTGCATTCCCATTTGGTGAAAATACTGCAGGTCTTACGATTTCCCTAACTACTGACAAAGCTATAAAAATGTCACTGTCCGGGCTTCCCTGGTGGCGCAGTGGTTGAGAGTCCGCCTGCCGATGCAGGGGTC